GTGGAGGACGAACTCCGAGCTAATGCTAACGCTATCGTCGCCCCCGGAAAGGGTATATTAGCCGCCGATGAGAGCACTGGTATTATCCCTATTATATAATCCGTGTATTTAACGAATGACTAAATAATAAGATCTATAATCAGGAACAATGGGAAAGCGATTGCAAGGTATTGGCGCCGATAATAACGAAGAGCTGCGCCGACAGTACAGACAATTGTTGTTCAGTGTGGACCCGGAGGCCGATGGATATATCAGTGGTGTTATCCTATATCACGAAACCCTTTACCAAAAGGACGATTCGGGCACTCCTTTTGTTGAGGTCTTGAAGAAGAGAGGTATCATTCCCGGCATTAAAGTTGATACAGGAGTTGTGCCCCTTCTGGGCACCAATGATGAGTGCACGACACAGGGCTTGGATGACCTCCAGAAGCGATGCGAGCAGTACTACAAAGACGGCTGTCGTTTTGCAAAATGGCGCTGCGTTTTGAAGATCAAAGATCACGAGCCCTCACCCCTCGCTATCCTCGAAAATGCTAATGTTTTGGCTCGTTATGCGTCCACTTGTCAACAGGTATGACAATAGTTAGCTAATCATTGAGACAAGAATTGATAATCTAAATGGAAATATAGGCAAAATTGGTGCCAATTGTTGAGCCAGAAGTGCTTCCCGATGGAGACCATGATCTCGAGAGATGCCAAAAGGNATATATTACATACAAATTTAATGAGCGTTAAGTTACGAGAGATTAATAATTAAATAGAATAGGGATTAGAATAGAGTATTAAAATTCTTGAAAGTTGATCATTATATACCAGTTTCTATCATTAAAATGATTTTTTATTTATCATTATTACAAGTGATTAACATTTAAGATAATCCTATAAGTCTCATAAGGGGTGATTCACAAAGTACGTTCGCACTTTTTAAGAAATGTAGACCCCCTCCCCCTTATGTTCGCATGTCCAGTCCAAATTATTTTAATGCGAACGTTCATAAGGTCTTATACCCCCCCCTCTCGTTCGAAAAAGTTCGCTTTGGCCGACATCCCCTCCCCCGAGTTCGAACGTATTTTGTGAATCACTCCTAATTAGGATTGAAACTGACAAATAGAGAGTAAATAATTTAACATTTGGTGTTTTAGACAATTATTTTTAAATATTTTATTGATTTAATTTTTGTTTTATTACGAAATCTGTGGTCAAATATAATATATTAAATATTAGAGAAACCAATTTTTATCAGTAAATTATTAAACGGAAAAGATTTCGGTTTTTTGTTTGGCGTTTACTTTTACGTCAGACACACTTCCGATTAATTTTAGGGTACTTTTTGCGACTTCGAGTGAACTCACAGAATAAACAATTATTTATTGTTATTATTTCTTATCAAATGAGACGATATATTAATACAGAATCATTCGGAATCTAAATCTAAATCAAAGTTATATTTTTGTAAAAATTGCGTAAATTTATGTAATTTTTTTGTTGTTAAAACATTAGAATATAAAATATTAAAAATTGTCATAACTTTTACATTTGATGTTATAAAATGAATATTTAATACAAATATCACATCCCTGTAGACTATGGCGTACTGTTTGATGAAAAACAAAACGACTTTTACGAACAGTTGAGTGAAGAAGAATATGCAAACCTTAGAGCAAAACAAGAATCGGATCTATACTATGATTATAGAGAATCCAATTGAAAGACGACTCCAATTCTGTATATGACTTCCAATTACGAAACAAATGTCTCAATACTTATACATATTTACATTAAAAAGAGTGAAACATATTCATTCACATCAAACTATTTTCAACTATAAAATATATACATATAATTTATGATTAAATAATTTATTAAATGTTTATTTTATTAACTGTTAAAACAAATTGTAACAAAATTAACATATTTTCGCAACAAATTGCACACAAAAGTTAACGAAACAATTAATAAGAAATTATTGAAAAACATTTAATAATAAGGTATTGGTAGACAAATCACAGCCAAATATGTCAGACGTTTTGATATTAATATACTGTATATTCGTTGTAATAGTATGTGCTGTCGATTCAATACACGATTCTTGTGGACAGTTATGTCATTCACAATATTGTGCTAAACAGTTATTAACGTTTTGTCCACTTTTTATAATTAATAATAATAATATAAATCATTAAAATATTGTTAACAATGTATTAATATTTGACTAAAATATTGCAATTTATTGATTGAAGAAATTCACATAACATTGATTTATTATAATATATATAGTAAATAGAGATTATAATGTATTTCCATTTGCCATTAATTCATAAAATGCACACAATTTTAAAAATTAAATGCGTTAATCATTTTAAAATTGATTGATATTTAAGTTTGAGATTAACATAAGACCTAATCGTTTAAAATAAAGAGAGACAATAGACTCATATCTAATGGACTAATAGGTGTACAACATGTATAGCATGTCTAATAAGCGTGATTCTTGACAAACAGATCTTCGGCAGCCGCCGCGCCAACCAAACCGCCCCCGTATTTACCCAAAGATGATTCGCTATTAGCCTGTAATGTAATGCATAGTTAATTAATATTTAATCAATAATTATGGTTTCATTAGTAATTCAACAAAATATTTGTAACAAACAAAATCAATGTAGTTATCAAACGACACAAAACCCCAAGAAATGTAACAATGAATTAGAGAATTGCGTTAAGAATTAATTATTTATAAATCAAATGTTAGTAAAATATCAAACGAGAAACAGTTAATGACATTTTGAAATACCAGTGAAATGTCTGGTAAAATGTTAGTCACGTATTGGACACTAAGGGTACCTATAATTAGATATGAGTGCAACTATTGTCTAGTATTTATGTTGTGCCGCAAAATTGGACGCCTTTGCGGACACACTGGAAATGGATCCGCTCTGGTATTTTGCTTGTGATGCCAATGCATTCGCCTATTAAGCAGTCATTCATTTGTCATTTCGTGTAAAAAATCATTCAATTTTAAAGTGCAAAACAAAAGTGCAATTAAACTAATTGTAACAGAAATGTACTCACTTTAGCTCTCTTAAGGAGCTCTGCCTGACCCGCTTTGATATTCTCCGTCTTCGCACCCCACGCTTTGATAGCACTGGCCTGAAGGGCACGACCGTAGCTGAAGGTCAGAGTCCACGGTTTCTTTCCCTGATATTGATTGATTGCATTCAAGTGCACTGAAGCCTCTTCTTCCGATTGACCACCAGATAGGAAGACAATGCCTAACATAACAATGCATTTCACGGTTAATATCAAAACCTAATCATTAAATTGTTTCCGTAAAAACCTGGAACAGCGGCCGGAACTGTTCGCTGCAATGCAGTGACAGTGGCCTTCGCAATGTCTTGTGGCGTATACTTCTTAGTACAGGCCTGACCGGCGGTCACCATATTTGGCTTCAGAAGAGTTCCCTCCAGAAACACGTTATGATCGCTCAAAGCCTTGTAAACGGCGGCCAAAACCTTTTCGGACACCTTTTGGCATCTCTCGAGATCATGGTCTCCATCGGGAAGCACTTCTGGCTCAACAATTGGCACCAATTTTGCCTATATTTCCATTTAGATTATCAATTCTTGTCTCAATGATTAGCTAACTATTGT